AAACAAATGGGCAAAGTTTCTTTCACCCTAAGTGCCCCTGTTACCTAGCAGTAAATAGGTACCTGGGAGTTAGTCAGCTGTCACGGGCTGCTTCCTGGTGTGTGTGTGTGTGTGTGTGTACTCACCTAATTGTACTCACCTAATTGTGCTTGCGGGGGTTGAGCTCTGGCTCTTTGGTCCCGCCTCTCAACCGTCAATCAACTGGTGTACAGATTCCTGAGCCTATTGGGCTCTATCATATCTACATTTGAAACTGTGAATGGAGTCAGCCTCCACCACATCACTTCCTAATGCATTCCATTTGCTAACTACTCTGACACTGAAAAAGTTCTTTCTAACGTCTCTGTGGCTCATTTGGGTACTCAGCTTCCACCTGTGTCCCCTTGTTCGCGTCCCACCAGTGTTGAAAAGTTCGTCCTTGTTTACCCGGTCGATTCCCCTGAGGATTTTGTAGGTTGTGATCATGTCCCCCCTTACTCTTCTGTCTTCCAGTGTCGTGAGGTGCATTTCCCGCAGCCTTTCCTCATAACTCATGCCTCTTAGTTCTGGGACTAGTCTAGTAGCATACCTTTGGACTTTTTCCAGCTTCGTCTTGTGCTTGACAAGGTACGGGCTCCATGCTGGGGCCGCATACTCCAGGATTGGTCTTACATATGTGGTGTACAAGATTCTGAATGATTCCTTACACAGGTTCCTGAACGCCGTTCTGATGTTAGCCAGCCTCGCATATGCCGCAGACGTTATTCTCTTTATGTGGGCTTCAGGAGACAGGTTTGGTGTGATATCAACTCCTAGATCTTTCTCTCTGTCTGTTTCATTAAGTACTTCATCTCCTATTCTGTATCCTGTGCCTGGCCTCCTGTTTCCACTGCCTAGTTTCATTACTTTGCATTTACTCGGGTTGAACTTCAACAGCCATTTGTTGGACCATTCACTCAGTCTATCCAGGTCATCTTGTAGCCTCCTACTATCACTATGACTGTGTGTGTGTGTGTGTGTGTGTGTGGTGTGGGGGAAAAAAAAAAGTAGTTAGTAAACAGTTGATTGACAGTTGAGAGGCGGGCCGAAAGAGCAAAGCTCAACCCCCGCAAAAACACAACTAGTAAACATAACTAGTAAACACAGAAGGAGTGGGATTACAGCCTCAGGTAGGCGGTTCTCCCGCCCTACTTACTCCCAGCCTTGGCGATCACAGTCATTAAAATATTATACCAAGACGTGAAGGTCATATTCCCACAACCTCTCGTGTCACGCAGGTGACCTCGCCGGCGTATATACGCCGCCCCACCACCACCACCTGCAGGTGTGTAACCCAAGAATACGGTAGTCATACGGACGAAAGAAAACGGTAGTCACACGGACGAAAGAAAACAGTAGTCACACGGACGATAGAAAACGGTAGTCACACGGATGGGAGTAAAGAATGACTACACAATGACATAAAACAGTAAAGTAATAATGAGAATTACGAAATCGCCAAAAATGTTAAAAACCTTTTAGCAACCTTTTATTGTTGTTTTTTATTTGGTAATATTTTAGGCACTTATCGAAGTTATCCTTTATTAATAGCATATTCCCCATTCTCTATTTTCTCCTGTGCAATTATTCTCTCTCTTTCCCTCCCTCTTCTTTCCACCTTTTTCCCTAAATCATTCGGCTCATTCCACGTTTTTCATATGTTGTTGTTAAAGATTCGCTACCTAGAACAAAGTTCAAAGTAGCACGGGCTATGGTGAGCCCGTAGTGGAGTTATTAATTTTTTTTATCATAATCCTCTAAATATATGGTGATCACACACAGAGATCACACGAACGTGATGCATCAAATGAACAAGTCGATTAAGGTAGTGTCTGGGATGTTCCCGGACGCAGGTTCGAATCCTCGTCACGGCCCTTGTGGATTTGTTCATTTTAAATGGTGATATTTAAACAAGATTAAGAATTAAACGAGACGAGGCAGACACAACACCATCGGCTCAGGGATACGAACCCTGGCTACCTTCTGCTCCGCCTAACTCCTCTTCCAAGTTAGGGATTTTGGTACTTCGACAAGTAGGGGGCTTCCTGTCCCCCGAATACTGCTCGATGGGCGGGTCGAGACTTATCAAGTCTTCCGATACTATCCATAGTGATTAGCGGTGATTATGTCAATAATATTGGCAAAGAGTTCAGCTTGACTTTGTGAGTATAGCGATTATACCCAAGAGATTATATCCAAGAGATTATATCCAAGAGATTATATCCAAGAGATTATATCCAAGAGATTATATCTAAGATGATTGGGGCGCCGCGCGGGGCCAAGAGTATATTAACGACTCCATTCCAGAGTTGGGTTAAAGACAAGACTCCACCTGATAGTTTGGTAAGTAACTAGCAGGGACCTAAGGTGGGGGGGGTGTGGGTTTTTTAAGCCCCCTAGTGCAGACATTTGCAATAGATCGACTTGAGAATGGTCCGAAACGTCGTCGTCCCTTCACCTTCTAGTGTGTGGTCTGGTCAACATAATTTAGCCACGTTATTGTGATTCATCGCCTGCATTTGCAATAGATGTTTCAGATGCCAAGATTGTACTCAGGGAACTGTTATGTGTAACTGGATTTTATATGTCTTAACTCCTTCATTAATGTTGATGTATAGAACTTAAGTGTTCAATGACTAGATTCATCATGGCTTCTATATTTTCCTATCTACCCTTCATACCGCTTTCTTCGTGTTCTTTTCTATATTATTTGATATTCTCCCCTATCCCCTCTGTTCTTAGTTAATATTTCCCCCATCTCCTCTATTCTTACCTTGCACCTGAGGCTACAGGCCAGACTCCTCGGTGATTTCCCAACCCTCTAAATTGAGCAATTTCCCTTCACTAACGAAGTTACGACAGTTTTTTCCCTTATGTTAAACGACCTTTTAGTGAGTGCCTCTGAAACGCTTGTCTCAGGTAGGCCTACTGACCAGCCTCCAAGATGTACAATTTAGTAGTAAACGCGACAACTTGAGGAAAAATATTGACGCCATGGAATGGGATCGAACCCTCGTTCTTGGACTCTGTAGGCACACGCACAACCGACTGGAACCATGATGGTCTGAACAATGTCTCCACCTGAACCTTCAATCACGTTCCTGTTAGTAAACTGAGCTCCAGTTTGTATGTAGTATATATATATATATATATATATATATATATATATATATATATATATATATATATATAGTATATATATATATATATATATATATATATATATATATATATATATATATATATATATATATATATATATATATATATATATATATATATATATATATATACAGTATATATATGACGACTGAAAACTCACACCCCAGAAGTGACTCGAACCCATACTCCCAGGAGCAACGCAACTGGTATCTACAGGACGCCTTAATCCGCTTGACCATCACGACCGGACAAAAGGAAGTGATAGCCGAAGCTATTTGCACCACTTCCCCGCCGGCACTCGGATGGTAATCTTGGTAGTCCTGGGGACCGTTCAGCCTACTCAGTGCACCTGCCACAGTCCCCTGCACCTGTAATCCCATTATTGCAGCCTGCACGAGTGCTTGCCTGTGCTGCAAGGAGCAACAAGGTTCAACATTTACGGTCGGGGTTTAATTTACACTTGTGGTCAAGCTGGGAAAATGGCCCAACCAGCGCGCTCGTTCCATTTCACGCAATGTGGACACATGTATCCTCTAAGCTGCCTCTGAGTGTCTTAACACAGCTGTTAATTGTGTGTTTCTTTAGGGAAATTTAAACAATCAAGCGATAATTGTTTTTCCCCTGATGGACACGGATTTTTTCCCGATGGAGACATGTTTCTTCCCGACGGAAAAATGTTTTTCCTGACGGAAACGGAGAAAACCACCATCCATGAGGCCTGGTCAGAGACCGGGCCGCCGATACATTCATCCCCGGAACCAACACAGGGTAAGGTATGGACCATTCAGCCGTTATTAAACTGGTAACAACGTGATTCCCGCCCTAATGACACGTGTCCTTCACCTTCAAGTATAAAGAAAGGCGTAATTTCACGTAACCGCTCGTGTGAAATTATTGTGTAATTGTACCTGATAATTGGTCTATAATTATCAACAAGTAACCTGCAGGTTTGAACCAAGAGACATTACTTCTGAGTCAATAGAACAGTTTAAACTGTTCATGGTGACTGGAACTGGCTATGGTGTGAGGCTCTGTGGAGCTTGAGCGGGTGTAGGAGCTACAGTTTGCCAGCTTCCACCACCCAGGGAGCCGGTCGGCCGAGCGGACAGCACGCTGGACTTGTGATCCTGTGGTCTTGGGTTCGATCCCAGGCGCCGGCGAGAAACAATGGGCAGAGTTTCTTTCATTCTATGCCCTTGTTACCTAGCAGTAAAATAGGTACCTGGGTGTTAGTCAGCTGTCACGAGCTGCTTCCTGGGGGGGGGGGGTGGAGACTAAAAAAAAAAACCCGAAACCATCTCAAGATAACCTCAAGAAGATAACCCTGACAATCCCTAACTACTTACACTCAAGCTTTAAATTAAGTTTAAATCAAATATAGCGTTACACACAGAAATGACAATAGCGAGATGCATCAAATGAACAATTTCTGGTTGCAATTTGGGAAGACCATGTCGTAGCTCAGTCGATTAAGGCAGCGTCTGGGATGCTCTCGGACGTAGGTTCGAATCCTCGTCACGGCCCTTGTGGGTTTGTTCAAATATAGCGTTACTGCTGGTATCGGTTACGGGCTCACCATAGCCCGTGCTACATGGACACTTCGTCCTGAGTAGCTAAGTCTTTAACAACATGCTGGTATCCAGTATCCAAAGTATTACCGGTTCCACCAAATTATAGGCGTAAAATAGGCAAAAATCGCTTAACTGTGCAATCTTTGAACCAAACATCAACATGAACTAAGTCACCTTACAGTCGCTTCCAAACTTCTTCATTATTTATTTGCATGAAAAGGAAAAAATAAAATTACGCGTTGGACTTACTTGGGCGTGGAGCGGGGCCGTAGACCAGATGACCTGGCCTGACCTGACCTCGGCCAGATGACAGTAACGTATATAAGCAAGGTATCACGTCTTTTTTTATATCATGAAAAGCTCCTTTTAATCGGCGAGAGCTGGGTCACATTGCGGGGCAGAGCTCTGTATCTTCACGCGGATCTTGCCCTCAGCCCTCCTTCCCAGACACGAAATCAACCTTGCCAGAGTTTGTGCAATTCGGTACAACTTGAGCAATAGTCCTTCCCTCTTGCAGCAGTCACGAGCACTCCGCAGCTGTACACCAGTCAGACCAAACACCTGTAGTGGCTGGCTTTGTAAGGTCTTAATAGCTCCCCGAACTAGGGACAGTTGGCACCGTCCAACGTTGGATATTCCATTTCCCAAAAACTCTTTTATTTGTTCAAAGCACAAACACGATATCACAGCGGAATGGTTCCTTTTGTGGAGGAAAACAAACACATAACAGAGGTAAAAACAGCCGTCCGGCGGGAAAAAATATACCCCGTGTCCACTCGGCAGAATATTTATGTATGCAAAAGTCGAGAGCTCTGGACTTGACTCGGGTTAGCCTAGTATTTTTCTTCCTTTTTTTTGTAGTTATGGAACCTGACGAGTTTACTGACGGAGTTCCCTGTTTACTCTCGCACAGTTACACGAACGAGGCTACTGGAATCGCGGCAAGTTTCCAGTTTACCCTTGTCGCAGTTACACCAACGAGGCTACTGGAATCGCGGCAAGTTTACAGTTTACCCTTGTCGCAGTTACACCAACGAGTCTACAGGGAGGGCGCGCCACCAGACGCAAGCGGTCCAGTATCGGGACCTTCAGATAGCGTCCGCAGGAGTCGGCCGAGCCAATCCTCCAATGTTTACATTTTCGGTTCATATGTGTCTCTCTAATTCGTCATTTCTAAGCGGGGTGACAGACTAGGAGGAGTGTCAGGCAGGAGTGCCACAGAGGGCGGTCCAGCGGCCGTGGTCTCGTGGCCCACACTGATGAAGCCAAGGTGGAGGGGGGATCAATAAGGTGTGATGCGGTGGAGGGTGGCCGCTTGTCGCTTCACTTTTGTTTCGTCAGTGTTTACATGGTGTCGCCTCCTCGCCCACCCATGGCAACATTTTTCCCAGTATTTTGGCTCGCTGTGGCGTCTGTTTTCTTCGATATCTGATTAGCTTTGGGAGATCTGGATAATAATAATAATAATAATAATAATAATAATAATAATAATAAACTAAATAAATACGAAAGTACTTAAGGACATTCCTGTTTCAATTCTTCCTTCGTGGTCTGACACGAAGTCTGACACGTCATAATATATATATATATATATATATATATATATATATATATATATATATATATATATATATATATATATATATATATATATATATATATATATATATATATATATATCGAAGCAATACACTTGTTTATATACTAACAAGGGGCAGGACACAATAATGCCAGCTACAATAACCATGTAAGTGGAATTTATGATATCATATACCAGACCAAATGGCGAGCCATGAGACGCCTATGCCATCCTTGCCCTAAAATGCCTGATCACTGGTACAGAAAGAGACAGAAAAATGGCCTTACATTACACACAGCTAAAGGCCACCGTACACGTGTAACATTCTAGACATATCAATAATGCTGGAGACGCCCCAACGCGGCGCCAACAGTGAGCAAAAGTCTTTATCAACCGAATATACGAATCGCACGATTCCCGCCACAATTCCCCGCAATCGCATTCCCGGAAAAGAATTGATTAAACCAGATAAATACATCTCAAGAAATTGAGGGTAAAGGCATAAATGTAACGCGCAGAATGACTCGATAGTAACTTAAAATAGAGTAATGATTTAGAAGCATATATGTGTGCGTGTGTGTTTGTGTGTGTGTGTGTGCTCGCGTGCTAGGCTACCTAGAGGCTAGGCTGGCGACGGCCAGACGCCGGGCGCTCAGGACGACGTCTTGCAGGCGGGACTCACTGGTGACGGGCTCTGCTGGGGGTTCTGGGAACTGTTAGGTGCGCAGGTGAGGGTTAAGGGGGTTCTGAGAACTGTTAGGGGCGCAGGTGAGGGTTAAGGGGGTTCTGAGAACTGTTAGGGGCGCAGGTGAGGGTTAAGGGGGTTCTGGGAACTGTTAGGGGGGCGCAGGTGACGGTTAAGGGGGTTCTGGGAACTGTTGGGGGCGTAGGTGAGGGTTAAGGGGGTTCTGGGAACTGTTAGGTGCGCAGGTGAGGGTTAAGCGGGGTTCTGGGAACTACTGGATGCGCAGGTGAGGGTTAAGGGGGTTCTTGGAACTGCTGGGTGCGCAGGTGAGGGTTAAGGGGGTTCTGGGAACGGCTGGGTGCGCAAATGAGGGTTAAGGGGGTTCTGGGAACTGCTGGGGGCGCAGGTGACGGTTAAGGGGGTTCTGGGAACTGCTGGGGGCGCAAGTGAGAGTTAAGGGGGTTCTGCGAACTGCTAGGATTGATGTGGGGGTTCTGGGAACAGCTAGGATTGATGTGGGGGTTCTGGGAACTGCTAGGATTGATGTGGGGGTTCTGAAAATGATGTGGAGTGATGTGGGGGGTTTTGGGAACTGCTGGAGATTGGTGTAATAATAAGTATGTGTAATTAGAGACCTGAGTGAGTTAAACTGAGGCTCATGAGCTAAAGAGAGATTGATTGCGATATATCTAGCCCCCTCTGATTGAGGGTAAGATAGAGGTTGCTGAAAGATGATGGAAGAATAAGAGAAAATCTTATGAGCATGACGGGAATGACCCCAGACACGCGCCGTAACCCATGCACCACGATGTGCTAAATTGCACAAGCTGGAATCCGTCTGAATCCACTAGGAATCCGTCTGAATCCACTAGGAATCCGTCTGAATCCACTAGGATTTTGGAGGCGCGGACCTGGCATCCCGTCCAATATTTTCCCCCTCAAAGCTTTGGAGGTTGGTGAGAGGTGGAGAGGCTCTGGGAGTTGATGAAGTCAGTGTAGGTTGATGGGAAGGTGGAGTATGGGTTGATGGGAAGGTGGAGTATGGGTTGATTAGAAGGATCTATGCAGTTGATTGGGGGGAGTATTGGTTGACTGGAAGTCTATGTTGTTGATTGGAATGCATGGATCTATTAGAGGTGAAGGGATTGATTGGGGGGGGGTATAGGTTGATGGTGGATTGGGAGGGGAGGTGTAGGTTGATGGTGGATTGGGAGGGGAGGTGTAGGTTGATGGTGGATTGGGAGGGGAGGTGTAGGTTGATGGTGGATTGGGGGGGGGAGGTATTGGTTGATGGGGGATTGGGGGGTGTACTGGATTACAGAGGTCTGGGAGGCTTGCGACTTGGAAGGGAAGATGACCCGCTGGTATAGATTGATGAGAGATTAAAGATGATTGACGGACATTACTGACAAATACAATACAACACACCAGAAACATTAACTAAAACTCCACCGTTAATTAACGATGATCACAGAACTAACGACAACAAATGAATTTTTGCTTACAGCAACAGACAGACAATTTGAAGACAAAGGCAAAACTGTCGAACATAATAGTAGGCTTCACTGGTAGAGGTCAATACTAGGCTTCACTGGTAGAGGTCAATACTAGGCTTCACTGGTAGAGGTCAATACTAGGCTTCACTGGTAGAGGTCTCTCTCTCTCTCTCGAGTTATGACCCGATAAAGGTCATCATCCTCAATTGAGTATCACATCTGGAGAAGACTTTATAGGGGTCACGTCCCCGTGACGTGGCTGTCACGTCCCCATCACGTGGCTGTCGCGTCCCCATCACGTGGCTGTCACGTCCCCATCACGTGGCTGTCACGTCTCCGTCACGTGGCTGTCACGTCTCCGTCACGTGGCTGTCACGTCTCCGTCACGTGGCTGTCACGTCTCCGTCACGTGGCTGTCACGTCTCCGTCACGTGGCTGTCGCGTCTCCATCACGTGGCTGTCACGTCTCCGTCACGTGGCTGTCACGTCTCCGTCACGTGGCTGTCACGTCCCCGTCACGTGGCTGTCACGTCCCCGTCACGTGGCTGTCACGTCCCCGTCACGTGGCTGTCACGTCCCCGTCACGTGGCTGTCACGTCCCCGTCACGTGGCTGTCACGTCCCCGTCACGTGGCTGTCACGTCCCCGTGACAACATGCATAACAAAACTCAAACTGAGACGTGACATCTGCCGCAGCTGTCAGCTGTCCGGTGAAATATCACAGCTGCATCAAAGATAGAGAAAGTCGTGCGGTGCAGCTGTCATTCTGATGCATCAATCAATCAATCAATCAATCAATCAATCAATCAATCAATCAATCAATACGGCGCAGTTGTAAATGTCGAGGGGCACACGTCACGATGGGTAACTGGCCAATTAGCGCACAGACCGCTGTAGCAGCAGCAGCAGCAGGGGGGGGGGGGGGGGGGGGGGGGGGGGGGGGTTGGCTGGGGGGAGGGGGAGGGGGGTGTAGGCCCCACTTGGAGAAGACAATGGCCTGAATCAATAGTTTGGTATCGTAAGGTCAGACAGTTGACCTCTCCGCCACTACCCAACAGGGTGGGGGGGGGGGGGTCACGTGAGACAAGTGGTGATCTACCCAGCAAGGTCGGAAAACAAGTGCCAAGTCGACCACACAATCGACTTGAGAATGGTCCGGGACGGACCGAAACGTCGTCGTCCCTTCACCTTCTAGTGTGTGGTCTGGTCAATATACTTTAGCCACGTTATTGTGACTCATCGCCTGCTCGACCTCTGTGTCGATCGCATGGTATATGATCAAATCCACAAGGGCCGTGACGTGGGTTCGAAACCTTGTGGATTTGTTCATTTGATGCATCACGCTATTGTGATTTCTGTGTGTAAGATGGTATATAGATGACCCACAATAGCGTCAGGCAGGGGAAAATCGGGCAAGGGATTTGGGGGTTTTTGTGGATATATAAACAGCAGGATCTTAGAACGTAGCGTTTACGGGCTCACCATAGCCGGTGCTACATGGACACTTCGTTCTGAGTAGCTAAATCTGAAACAACATAGAACGTAGGACTGACTGTTAAAATACGCGCTCAGCACATAGTATGTATGTCCTTTGAGGGGTGACAATAGATGGCGATAGATGCAGGATGTCCTTTGAGGGGTGACAATAGATGGCGATAGATGCAGGATGTCCTTTGTGGGGGTGACAATAGATGGCGGTAGATGCAGGATGTCCTTTGTGGGGGTGACAATAGATGGCGGTAGATGCAGGATGTCCTTTGTGGGGGTGACAATAGATGGCGGTAGATGCAGGATGTCCTTTGTGGGGGTGACAATAGATGGCGATAGATGCAGGATGTCCTTTGAGGGGTGACAATAGATGGCGGTAGATGCAGGATGTCCTTTGAGGGGTGACAATAGATGGCGATAGATGCAGGATGTCCTTTGTGGGGGTGACAATAGATGGCGATAGATGCAGGATGTCCTTTGAGGGGTGACAATAGATGGCGATAGATGCAGGATGTCCTTTGTGGGGGTGACAATAGATGGCGATAGATGCAGGATGTCCTTTGAGGGGTGACAATAGATGGCGATAGATGCAGCCCGTCCTCTTAAGGTCTCCCTAGCAATAGGCCAGAGGTACCCACAGCACACGACGGATGACCCAGGAGCAGGTCCCCTCCGGTTACTGACACGGAGGAAGGTGCCATCATGGGTACACAAGTGTCAAACAGTTGCCCAATATACACACACACAGGATGGTGGCAGTGGAGGGGGTAGTGGGGGAGGGGGTGGGGGTAGGTAACGTACCAATCACTGCACGTCACAGATGACAGAAGACCCATCACTGCACGTCACAGAAGACCCATCACTGCACGTCACAGAAGACTCATCACTGCACGTCACAGAAGACCCATCACTGCACGTCACAGAAGACCTATCACTGCACGTCACAGACTACCAGCCACTGCACGTACACAGTCGCA